AATAAATTTATTTTCTATTTTATTTAGCTCATGGTGAAAAATGGGAAATAACTAATAATTCACGTCAAGCGACAACATCGACAGTAACGTCAGGAAATACGTCCGAACGTCTACCGTTTTCAAATAAAAATGGTTGGACATCAGATAAAAGATCTTCTCGTTCTCGATCAAATAATCAACGACGAAGTGTAGTTAGACTTCGATCAGACATATCACGAAGTAGACATAATGCTACTCGAGTACGGCCAGAGCCCCAAAGAGATAATCAACAGTCTAATGCAAAAGACTTACCTCTACCAGTTTAAGTTGTAACTATTTCTTTATCTGTTCAAATTTTATATTTTTATTAGAAATTATAAAATTTATAAATATTAGTCATATATATTATTTTTAATAAAAAATGTCAAAAAAAAACTAATTCTTAATTAACTTATGAGTAAATATGAAATGAACAAAAAACAGAGAATATTACAAAAACAACACAACAAATCATCAGTCCAGAAATAAACCCAGTTCAAGGTTAAAAGAATATTTAATAGTAGATTTTTGAAAATTTGTTTAGTGAATATTTCTCACTTATGAAAACTTGATTTTGTTATTCACAGTCATAAGATATTTGAAAGTACCCTTTTCCCATTAAAATACTTTATAAATAGAATTTGTTTTATTAGTTTCTTCAGTGATTGATCTTTGTTATTGAAGAAAAAACCTGAATAATTATATTTTTAATGATAATCATAATAATTAATATTATTGCGTTTGAATAAAACATAAATAATTCTCATATACATTTATTTAAAAAAATATCAAATTCAATAAAAGACATTATCTATAAGAAGATTTATTTTTATAATAAATATGATGAATCTTTCTACTTGTTAGACTGTACAAAAAAAAAATATCGTAAAAGACTCAACACGTGCCGTTTTATTTTTATGAGTCATAATTATTAACTGTCTACCGTTGAAGATAATGAGTATACATCAATGTTTACAAAGTTATTTATATCATATCCTTTTCAAAAACCAAATGACTAACGTTACACTAATATTTCTTTACAGTGATTTTATTGAAATTTTGCAATCCTTTCTTTTGATTAATATATGTATTGACAAGTATTTCAGAACATTATTTGATGTAACTGAAGGTTTCTCTAATAAAACCAAGATTTTTCTATCAGATAAAGTGTCAGTGAATCTAAAGAATGAGTACTACTTGTTTATATTAGTAGCGATAAAAGATAATTGTATATGTTGAAGAAATTCTAATAGTTAATCGTGCATAGTTAAGTATGTGTAATAAGCTGAACTTCTTGTTATTATTTTACACATTAAGTTAATGTTACTCATACATATATCGCAGTCTTTGTATTAAAGATCAACACAGACACAAATTAAAAAACTTATGTGATCTGATGATTGATCGTAAATCGAGCACATACTACATGTACAACTAAAAGAAATGAATTTAGTCGAATTGAGAATTGATAATTTTACAAAGAACAAAGATATTCCTTGAATATGAATGAATATGAATTAAAAAAAACAAAATATACTTTGTTCATGTGTACACAAACAAAACTAATAATTTACTTCTATTTTAATTTAATTCTAATAAAAAATTTGAATTAAATTCGTTTTATTTTATTGCAAAATAGATTAAATAATATAATAAAATTAACTAATGAAATAAAAAACCAATAAAATAAGATTAATAAGATCTTTTGAATATAAAATAATCTAGTACTATTTAGTGCATAAATAATATGCCGTTCATTTTTTTTCTTATTAGAATCAAATATAAAATGAATAGAAATATCGTCTATATTCGAGTGAATGGCATTGAAGTAGCTCAAAAATTGTGATTTAATTGAAAGATATGAATAGTTTCTATCAAATTAAAAAAACTAAAATGATTTAATTTTTTTTTATTTTCATTTATAACAAAGAAACTTGAAAGCGTAGGTGAATGTAAAAGTAAATACCAAACATTCCCATCTACATTCTCCTACTTGAATTTATCATGTTTGTCTTAGAATTATAAATTAATTTTATAAATTTTTAAATGTAATATAAATAAAACAATCAATGAATTTTATATTAAATCGAAATGTTGAAATACTCGTTCGTAAATCTATTCGTAAAAATTTAATAAATTCACAACAAAAATTTATAGAAATAAATGTAAGAATAAAATTTCGTACTTAACATGTTTTTATTCGTTGATTTACTGTTAGAGAAAAAAAAAGTTGTCTATGAAGACATACTTTGAATCAATCTCATATATAATCATATGTTAATTCATGTGCTATTTCAGTCAATCCTCAGTAGAAAAATCAATACAAATTATTCTAGAGTATAATTAATTGTTTATCTATTATACAATATACTAATTTTCAAAAGCTCCTTTATTGTTTTCTCCAGAGTATTTTAATATAAGATTAATACCTGAAAATAAAGAATTGTATTAGCACATTGAACTTTTCCTTGTCATAGTAACGAGTTCACTTCTTTTCTAAATTGATTTCTTCTACTTTAAATTCGAAAATAGTTGTGCGTAGGAGCAACTTCAAAGGTTTTTTTTTTATTGTTTTTTTGTTCTGCTAAATAACCATATCGACGTTTGTGTGTAACATAAAAAATATAAATAGTAGTAACAACAACTTTATGCATAATGTCTAAGGCAATCATTTGCTTTTTATCTGAAACGAACGTAAAAGCTTTCATACAGCACTCTCAAATTTTTTTATTAAATAAACAAGTGGTGAGGCGATCATACGATAGACAGGTAAATTGCAAAAAAAAGATGCTTTAGATTCTACTAATTCTAAAACATATTGTGTTTTATCCCTTTCATATTAAATATTTTAATCTTTATTGGAGATAGAATGTTAGACTGAATAAGAGCTTTTCCAACAACTCATCTTTTTTTAAAGATATTCATTTTTTACAGCAGCACAAATAGCTTCACACGACTTGAAAAGTTATTTTATAAAATATTATTAATTCTTCTGAATATAATCGAATGAATATTCATAAACATAATCAGATAGTAGAGAGAATTTATTGGATGATAAAATTTTGACCTGATTATTTTGTTGTAAACAATACAGTAAAATGTATTTGTATAATATGCTAAGTAGAAGAAACTATAGAAAGGTAAATATTATTCCACATAGATTATTTTAAAATATATATCAACGTTTTTTTTTTAAATTATTCTGTTAAAAATTTGATCAAAATATTTAAAAGTACATTGAAAAATCTATATTCACACATGTGTTTTTGATTAGAGGAATATTAACAAGAATCGTTGAGTGGATGATGATATAACATCTTATCTACTCAATCATCTTAATCTACCTATTTATATTCTATGAAATTCTTTTGACTTTGAATTTTCTGAAAATTATGACAATACGCATATTCATACCCTTAAATGCTTTATACTTGTTGTTCATGTTTAATGATCTGATACTTTAGGAAAAATATGGCAAATAAAGTTACACCGGCTACAGGAAAGTCAACATCTGACGGCTCATCATCGCCGATGTTAGATTTAATGAAAACTTATGTTAAGTCAAAATTTTCTTATAATGCAAAACCATTAACAAATGCAAAAGTAACCAATGTACAACAAGAACATTATGCATATCAAATTGATATATGGACATTAATGGAATGTCGTACAAAGAAAAAGATAAATCAACCTTATAATAACGAAACAATAGCGAATGAAGGAAATCGTAATGAATGGGATTTTGATTTTGAGCGACCAGCCATAGATGCAAAAACGAAGAAGACTGAGGTACGTAATCTGGATCAAACACGATGGACAAATATTTGTTTAAAATGCAGTGGCTTTAATCGTTATGCTTGTTCTTCTTGTAAAGGAGATGGTGGTAAACCTTGTTATCATTGTAAAATCAAAGCGTTAACTGATAATGGACTTGGTTCAAAGAAACCATGTAAATATTGCAATGATTCAGGTGTTATACATTGTTTAAAATGTAAGTCTACTGGTTTAGTCGAATGTACAAGTTGTAAAGGCTGTGGAAAAATTTTACATTATTATCAATTATCAGTTAAATGGTATACAATTCATTCAGTTTCTTATCTGACCAATACCGAATTGCCACCAAAAATAATCCATAAAGCTCCCGATAAAAAAAGCATTTCTATTACTGATCAAAAATGGTCTAAAACTGATTCAATTGAAAAATATTTTCAAACTGCATTTGCCAGTCAACAGAAAAATCCTCCAATCAAACTTGAACAATTAACTGAGGATTTTAACAAAAAACACGTAACAAAAGCAAAAAAGAATTGCCGAATTGTTCAAATGAAATGCGAAATTCAAAAACTAGATGTAACTGAAGTCGAATATGAATCTGAAGGATTCAAGAATAAACATGATCCTAAGATGGGTAAGTTCTATCGAAAGAAATCTACGATAATCTTTTTACAACGAATTTTTTTTTTCTTTTTGCTAGGTGATAAATTTAAATTCTACTACTATGGAAAGGGAAAGAAAGATCAACCGATGATTTATGAAAATGATTATCCAATGAATGCTTGTGGTTGTTGCGGTGTTGGATGTGCACATCATTCAAAACTTTGTACAATATCATAGATAAGAAAAACGTTCGAAACAAGTACCTTCTTTCTTATATTCATTTTTTTTTAAATATTCAAACAGTTCGAAAACTTAAAAAAAATTTAGAATGTGGCTGTGAGTGTGAGTTTGCGTATTGTCATTATCTCACACTCACACTCTTCTTCTTGAATAATATCGTCACGAATTTGAATGATTTTAATTAATAAAAACAGACTATATTGAATATATGTTCTCAATTATTGAATAGTATCACCTCAAGTTTAAATCATTGTCGGAGATTTTCAAATGGGAATAAAGAGTGTTCGAAGTGCACAGTAATATATAGGATCCCTATATATTGTATCATAATATTTAATTAACGTAATGATTGTTTGTAGGGTGAGCGTGGGTGTAACTCTGATTGATAATTGATTCGAACTCATACTCTTATACACCTATGCTCACATGCATACTTGTGTTGTTTTATCTCTTTTCCTCTCTCTTTACTCGTAACTATTTCTGAATGTATGGCACCACAGAATCATAAAATATTTATTTTTTTCTATTCTTTATCAATTGAAAGAGAATATTACTATAAAATCATATTATATGAAAGGCAAGCCATTTGTATATTGACACTATTTCTCTCTCATAGAGACGTCTCGGGAATAAATGAAAAAAAAAGAAACAGAACGAACAATTGGATTGTTATTTTTTTGATCTTATAAAAGCACGTGTTTGACTTTAAAATACTATTTTTCACTATCAATCTTAATTTTATCACTACACGTTCTTATTTTTCTTCGAATCATCACAATGGGTGGTCGTAGTTCGAAAAAGTCATTCAATGAATGGGATTTGATTAAATTCAGTAATGTTACTGGTAAATATTGAACTAGTATCTTTATTAATGTTTATGAAAAATTTTCTTGATAAACTTAGGTGTTTCTCTGCCACTAGTCAAAAATATTCATAAAGATTTTGTTACTGCCACAGGAAATGATAACAGAATGAATAAGATAGAATTTCGTCATTTATACAAGAAAATGTACATAAATACTGAATATATTAGTTTTTCCGGTGATCTACCATCAATGTTTAGTGAAGAAGATTTGAATAAGATGTCAGATTATGTATTTGAAACTTATGATTTCGATGGAACAGGTATAATCTTCTTTATTTCTTATTAAATTATTTTACTAATTGTCTTTCTATAATTTAGGATTGCTGACATTTGAGGGTAGATTAATATTTAAATGATATTTTTTATGAGATATAATATATATTTATTTTTTAATAGAATTTGCTGAAGCTTATCTGATGATTACTCATCATCCGAGTATGTCGACAAATGGCATTACATTGCGTGATCGATTTAGCTATATTTTGGATCAAGACAATTCAACATCTGGTAAAAATAACAACTCTTTCTATTATTTTTCTCTATGTATTTATAGGTTTCATAACACGTGAACAAGGTGAACGAATTTTTCATCGTCTCAATAAATATAACAAGTTAGTCTTTTTAATTATGGTCTTTTTTTTTGTCATTGAATGTATTTCTCATATTTTATTCTAGATGGATAAATTCGAAAGCCAACATATTGGATGATTCATTGAAGCCAGCAGATACTACATGGGATTCACATTGGAGCAAGCTCAACGATGGTAATGATAGGTGAGTGTTGTTTTTTACTTTTTCTATTTTCATTGTTTATCTTAATTCATTTTCAGTGTGTCGAAAGAGAAATTTGTTGATTATATTACTAGTTCGAATGAATACAAATATTATTTTGATCCAATGGTGGTCTGAATTACAATATAATGTAGACAATCATAATATAACGAATTTATTCGTTTTTTTTCTCTTAGGTTTTCCTTTCGTTTATTTTATCCGACATGTCGTAGTTTTTAGGTTATTTTTAATCTAGCTAAAAATTCATTTTTTTTCAAATTCTCTTTCTAAAAGTAATTAGTAACTTAATATTAAACAATTCGATATCAGATTGAGAATATGATGGTAATTGGTGTGAATGACAATGAGAAAGGATGAACATCGGTGAGGACGAGAATTTGAGATATCACTCACATCCTTCCTCACACTCATCTATACCAATATTTATGACCTAAGAAGATGTTGTGCGAAAAGACGTAATAAAGATAGTTTTATTTACTGTTGTATGAAAGTGAAATATGTAAGTACCATATTTTATGCTACAAGTAAATTATCTACGAAATTTATTGACGAAACTCAGGTGTACTGTTCATGAGATGAATTATATGCGTTAACGAGACATCTATCGTTCTATCGATCTTCGTAGCAAAAAACATGATTCCTGCTAACAGTAACATTGTTTATTCGTCTTCGAGATTTGAAATGCATAGCGATGAGTCTGATACTTCATAAATGCCATAGCTGTGCCGCACAGTTTCCAGCGTGGATGGGTGAGAACATGAATATGGATGACTGTACTGTTTCATACCCACACCCACGCCCTCAAGATAATTCGATCTATGTCTATAGTGAATAACGATTCAAAAACTTCTATGTACAAAATTTTATGAGAAGACAATAGTGATACAGTTTTATTTAGCTACTGTGCAATAGTTAATAAAAGAAAATTATAAGTTATATGTGAAAAAATTGTCTTGTCAACCAAATATAAAATTAAAATTTGTTGAATCACTGGTACCATTTCCAATTTGTCGAAGCCAAAATGAGACTTGGTAAGTTTCACTTATTATACTCGAAAATGTTTGAGTAAGATAGTTCACTGCTCCACTACCATAGCAATTCACTTGTAAACAGTTACCAATCGATGACACGCAACTGCTTCCAGAAACGATCTGTGAACTGGTTCCGTTACATGTGTCATTACACCATAGAGACCAATCGGTAAGTGAAGTTGTTGAATTTTCAAAACTAGGATTTTGAAGTAACTGATCCGATGGTGAATTTATGTCAAATGCAGATACACTGTCGAGATAGTAAAAACGAGTTGCATCCGTTTGAAATGTAAATGTGACTGTAAATGAAGTTTGTACGGCTATATATAATACACTGAATTGAATCCAATTTGTTGGAAATGCTCCATTAAGAAATGGCTGTGGTCTCGGACTTACACATATGGATGCTAAAATAGTTTTAATAGGTACGATATCTACTAATTTTCATAATCACTTACTGGTGGTTGTTGTTGTTGATGTAGTTGATGTTGTTGAAGAGCTTGTCGATGATGTTGATGTGGTCGTTGAGGTTGTTACCGAGGTTGTCGTTGTTGTTGACGAAGTTGTGGACGATGTTGACGTTGATGTTGATGAAGTTGTAGACGATGTTGTTGTTGATGTTGATGATGTTGAAGTTGATGTTGTTGTAGTTGTTGACGATGTTGAGGTCGATGATGTTGTTGTTGTTGTTGATGTTGACGAAGTTGATGAAGTTGCCGATGACGTCGATGTTGATGATGTTGTTGTGGATGTTGAAGAAGTTGTCGACGATGTTGAGGTTGACGATGTTGTTGTTGACGTTGATGATGTTGTTGTTGATGTTGACGAAGTTGATGAAGTTGTCGATGACGTCGATGTTGATGACGTTGTTGTTGATGTCGACGAAGTTGTAGACGATGTTGACGTTGATGATGTTGTAGTTGATGTTGATGAAGTTGTCGATGATGTTGTTGTTGATGTTGACGAAGTTGTAGACGAGGTTGAGGTTGATGATGTTGTTGTTGACGTTGATGAGGTTGCCGATGATGTTGAGGTTGACGATGTTGTTGTTGATGTTGACGAAGTTGTTGTTGAAGTTGACGAAGTTGTCGATGATGTTTCTGTTAATGTTGACGAGGTTGTCGTCGATGTTGATGAGGTGGTTGAGGTCGTTACTGTTGATGCAGTAGTCGATGTTGATGATGTTGTTGTAAATGTTGCTAGAAAAATAATTGATAAATATGATTTTACTGTGGAAGAGTAAGCATGGTTTTTCTAATTGTAAGGAGAAAATAGAAAGAAATGTTGCTTATCTACGACATTCTATACTGCGATAGTATCGCATGAGGATTTCATATGAACTTCAACTTGATGCATCAGAATCTGAAAATATCAGATCACAAAAGATTGTGAATATATCGAACATCATTTGACTTCAGTTTGGCTCATCAAGAAATGGAAAAAATAGGTTGATTTTAAGAAAATCAGAAGAACAAATGAAACTATTTTAACTTGTAGATTGTTATTTTATTCTATTGTGTATCCTGATGCAAAATAATAGTTATTGCGGATAACTGTTATTGTCAATAGTTAATTTTGACTAATGTAATAAGTAATTAATAATGAAATGTTTCTTCATTTTGTAAAACTAAAGTGACTATTATTTAATAAATAATATAAACAGAATATGTAAGATTATGTTAAAATAGTCATCACGTTTTTCTCAGTTAATGGATCTAGATGTGGTACTAAAATTCTTTCTAAGAGAGATCTTATTTCTTTATTCTGAACTTCCGAATCACAATAAATATTTGATTCTCAATTATGATTAATAGAATTTCTAAAAAAACTATTTCTAACCATGATAGAACATTCTAGATTATTTAAGAATATGATTATAATACGCGATGTTTATATATAATACTTTATTTTAAGATGAACTGTCAGTTTTGCACTTCCGTGGATATAGACATAAGAAAGTATCAGCTTTGATATAACAAAATTAGCATGTATTTATCTAAGTCCGTCTTTTGAAGGGAATGAACACAATCTTAAGAACCTCGATGAAAAGAAATATTAAGTCATTAGCGTAATCTTAACGATATTAAAAATATCAGATATAATGGAGTTACTTATCAAACAAGTTAAATAAATCAGTGAAATATAAATGATTGTATACAAAAGCAGAATGGTGAAAAAATACATCTATCAAAATACGTACTACTTGTCGTTAATAATTCAGGTGGTATTTGTTGAAAGAAAAATATTGTATTTTCTGTTTGTTTCAATCCAATATCAGTTGTAGAATAATTATTAATTAAACTACATGTGTTATTATTTGTCATACAATTCCATCCAACTGCATCAGCCATCAAACCAACACATATACATTGTTGACAACTTGTATTGAAAAATGTTTCGCTCATACTTGATGCTACGAATGTTACATTCGAAATCGATCCAATAGGAACTGAATCAGCAATATTACCAATCATGATTATGAAAATAAATAAATTATTTATGATAGAATAATGAAACCAACGAATAGTTTTCATAATTTTATTTTAATAATCAATTGTTTGTGAAATAAACTTGTCTGCACTATGTTTTGAACAATATAAAAAAGAAAGAAAAATAATGCACTATTTTACTTCTAATGGAATCAAAATGGATCTTTCAAGTGTAATAACAGCACATCTATCTTGAAAAAATATTACTATCGAGACGACAAGATGCCTTTCAATTTCATATATTAAATAACACGTTCTAAATCATCAACATTTCACTACTTTACCTCTTATGAAATTTATTCTCACGTATGCATAAGATTCTGTGGAAAGAGGGAGAACGATCAAATATGAAAAAATAGTTAACTGACTAACTTTTCTAGAAAATGAAATCGACAATACTTTTGTCATATCGAAGATTAAACTTACATATCTTTTAGTACATCTTCGATTTAAAGAAAAACATAAAATTTTTCGTATTCTCAAATGAATAGAAAAGAAGATAACTGATCCTAACCGTGTTTATTATAGCATTACTTTACCTATTAAATGAGAATGCACTAAAATAAAATATCATGAAACAACAAAGATGTGTCTCTACAATGATGAAGAGAAAATAAAAAATAATCTATTTGAATAATTTCTTTCACTTAAATAAAAAAACACAAGAGAAAAGAATAAATAACAATTATTTAACAAGAGGGAAACCATTATATACTTATTAACAACGACTCATCTAATTACTTTTATGTGCAACAATTGTAGAGAATGATTACAACTTTAAAGTGTATATTAGTGAATAACAAAGATTTGTTATCGATGAATAAAATCAACATAAATAACTCTTTAATTTCATAGAAATTCATATGAAAAATATAAATGAGACGTGTTTAAATTTTATTTTAGAAAATGAGATCATAATTTGAATTTATAGTTTAAGAAAATACTTTGATCATTTTATTTGGAAGATAAAACTAAAATAAAATGTTGATTAATAAATCATTTTGAGAATAATAAGTAGAAAACGGTAACAAAGAATATCACCGATTTCAAGCAAAAACCATGAGTTAGTTTTTATTCGAGCTTTCGATTAGAAACTCTTATTGTCATCAGGAATATTGAAAATGGATGGATACTTAATATTATTTTGTTTTTTTCTTTTATTTCTTCTTCTGAATATTGTAGTATTTCTATAGAGTGTCATTCAATTTTTCTATATTCTTGATGATAAACATCATTGAAAGATCTTCTATATCATGAAAACATTTAGTTTTTACTCAGAAATCATCAATGTAAATGAACCTTTTATCATAATGTTTTTTAATGTTTATACATTGAGAACAGGAAAGAGTACTTATTTATTGAACATTGTTTTCTCATGGAGATCATTAAAATTTCTAAAAGAACTTGTTATTTGTTTTTTTCATTTATTTTTTATTAAACTTATACTGATGTTCATTTTAGAGATAAATCATCATGACCATTTTTCAAATAAGTTTCCATCGAGGAAAACCATCGATCTAGAATGGTTTACAGATATAATCACATATGTTGTTTCTATAATTATCTCATCTTGAGAGCGTAGGTGTGTATATTGTCATCATCTCCCACTCACACCCACATCCGATTAATTTCTATAACGAGCAGAAATTAATTTAAAATAACAAAATGAAAAAAAAATTTAATTAATGTAGAAAACATTTTGTTTCTATTCATAGCAAAAATTACAAGACAATTCTTGACATAGCCATAAAATCTAATATTTAGCATGTTTAATAATATCATCGGCTATTTTTTCGCAAGCTGTTATAATTGGAATAAGTGGATAATATCCAGGTATTTTGGGAAATATAGATATATCACATACGCGTAAATTTTTAATGCCTTTAACTTGTGCTTTTGAATTGAGAACAGCGAATGAATCTGTTTTTGTATTTCCAATTTTAGCTGTACAACAAGCATGATGTCCTCACACCCATTTATGTATAAATTCACTCAATTGTTTATCAGTTTGTACTTGATCACCAGGTAATTCTTCATAATCAATATATTGAGAAAATGAACTGTTAAATAATAAAGTTCGTAGATATCGAATACTTTGTATTGTTCTACTAAGATCAATTTGTTTATTTGGACCACTAAAATGTTTTAATTGAATCAATGGTGTATCAAATGCATTAGTAGATTGAATACGAACTGAACCCACATTATTGTCAACATGTGCAAGATTTATAATAACAGATAAATATGTTCCTACGGGATACTCTAATGATTCATTTACCCAATTTTCTCTAAAACCAGTAAATCGTACTGGTAAGAATACTAATGCAGTATCGGGTAATTTTGGTAGTTTTGGCTGAGTAGAATGAAGTATAGCAAAAAGAACACTATTTGATGCATACAAAGCAGTTTGAGGATGTTTCATATAATCAATTAAACATGGATCATCAGGTGTAGCATTGTATGTACAATTAATACTTCTTATACCAGCTATATTAACATTTTCTTTTAATTTAACAACATATACTCCTTCCGAACGATCTTGTTGATTAATACCAACACCAGGTAAACCTTGTATAACTGGAATTCCAAATTTTTTTAATAAATCTTTATCACCAATACCACTCAATTGTAATAATTGCGGCGTCATCCATTGTCCACCTGACACAATAATTTCACGTTTTGCATAAATTGAAGATTTTTTCAATTGATTACTATTTAGAGTCTGTGATGCTAATGAACTTGCTTTATATAAATATGAACCATTAATATATTCAACACCACATGCTTCTTTTTTCTGTGGATCAATAATTAATTTTGTAACAAAAGTATTTGTGCATACATGTAAATTTGACTTTTTTATATTTTGTACATTTTTTATACGTTTATAAGAACTACTTCTTATGCCTGTTTCTTTAGTAACTGATTCAGGTGAATAGAAATAACTATCGTAATCATTTTTTTCATTAATATTTCCATTAAATTTCACTTTTGTTTTAATATCATTAATTAAATGATTAAAAAGAGGATTTGTCTCACTCAATGGCAATAGATCTTGATAAACTGATACGGTAGTATTTAACCAACCATGCCTATTGTCATCATCATTCTTACAATACTGACAATCGTCTGCCAATTTTTCATATTTGTTTTCAATATTTTTATAGTTCCAATTTGAATCACCGGTAACTTTTTCTATATAATCCCATTCTAATGGATTTGCTGTCATTGCTACCATAACATTGATTTCTGCACTACCACCTAAAGTTACACCTCTTGGATATTGTATTGTTATATTATCTTTTTCTGAATAGAGATAAGGATTAAAATTAACGGTTATATTCGGATTTAATTGAGCAAGTTGCCAAAATCTTGGTGTTCTTGTAATACCATCATCATAGTCAGGACCAGCTTCGATTAACAATACTTTAAAATTATTCAATGCTAAACGTGTAGCTATTGTTGCACCACCTGCACCTGAGCCAACAACAATATAATCGTATATAGAATCTTGTTTGTCTACAATAGAATTGCTAGATAATTAGAAAATAGTGTACTAATGGAATATTACTTTGACACGGAGAATTTGATCGTGATCGTGATTGTGGTCGTATTCGACGTTGTGGTTTTGGTTTGTTATTGCTTTCTTGTGAATATGAAGGAGTCTGATTCTCATCTTCGTTTTTCTCTTCTGTTTCAGACGAAGTATCTATATTGATACGTGTTCTTGAATATTTTCGAATATTGAAAGATTTATAGTCCGTTTTAATACCACCAACAAAACCACCTGTCAATCGATTAATTCTCGGTATACTAGTACCATACACTAAGTTTACAAGAAAAACATATGAAAAAATTGATTAGAAATAAAACAAACGTGGTCTTGGTTGAAAATAAGGTATCATATTGATGGGACCTGTCGGTTGAGAACCGCCATCAACAAGACTAGCATAGCCAGACATAATGAGTTCCGCAATTGAAAACATTTTACCATAAAAATTAATTAATGGAGGTAATATGTATACTATTAAGAAGGATATTTGCTAGAGAATATTTCTGAAGATATAACTACTCATTACTTCCTGTAGACGAATATATAATTGTTTGTCGTGTTAATCGATCAGCAAATATTGGAATCCAAGGCATAAAACTTATGAACGGACCGGGTAAAGCTGAAAAAAAAGACTTGGTTATATGTTGAGTCTTATAAATCTTGCAATATTTACGAAATTCTCGACGAGTATAACGAGCTACAGGAAAGCGAAATCGTTGAGATCGTTGTTGGATGCCGTTTTGAATAGATTTACGAATATAAATATTCATACGACCAAGAGCTTCGGGTGACCTATGCCTTCGCTGCAATGAGAGAAAGTAAATATATGTGTTAGCTAGTTTAAAACACTTGCATGCATTGATGCTACTCGTAATTGAGGAATTAGTTCATCTTTGTTATCCTTTGAAGTCGATATTTTTTCCATATTCATCCGCAACTGATCGTTCTCATACCGCTCAGTCGGTACTTCTGCAATGTATGATAAGAAGAATATCATAAGAATTGGTTAACATGATGCTTGTAGTACTGTCAAATATGAAAATTAAACTTAGCGATTCAACTATTTAATGAATCTTTCTTTGAAGATTTGTCCTTATTGACATCACTGTCTCTCTTAGGAATTTTATTCACATGGTTGCTCATCCTTTGAAGAGTTTTGGAAAATTAAAACAAGTGAATTCAACTTTCTAGTTTGACATATATATGGACACGGTCAACCGTTACGGAATTTCATTTTTTTAATAGAAGAGTAAACTTCAAATGCATAATATGAATTTATAAATGTTATTTGTTTTTCCTGAAATATCAAAGTTGTTATACCTTGATTGCCATTCTTGTGCTCTCTATATTGATAGAATGCTACGACTACAACACCACTGACAATAAATAGCAGTAGTAAAATTGTATAGAAAGTTTTATGACGAGTTATTAAAAAAGTGTGTAACCATCGTGATCTATCAATGACAAGATTATTATTATTGATTATCTATTAGAAATGCTTACTGCGATTGTAACTGTTCGCTTGATTTTGATGCTTCTAAAGCAATTTTATGTTGTTCACGATTGAGTAGCTCATATTTAGTTTTTCCTTGATACTCACACATGATAATAAGTTAATACTGATATATATTCACAGTTTTGTAATTAATTCAGAAGTAAATGGTGCTCTGCTCTTCAATTTACAAGTTATTATATATTGCACCCAAAACAGAAATCCGACAGCTGTATTACGTCACACAAGATAAATAGTCATCTGACATTGTTTTATCAACAGATAATAATATATGATATTATATTTTGAAATAATTTGCTTAGTAAGCACATATTTGGCTAGGTGTTTAAGTTATTCAAACACAAGATAATATTATGTTAGTAAAGCAATTCAATAGAATAGATCATTGAAAGTTTACTTTAATATTACAAAACTAATGTTGCAAGTATGTCCAACTGTTAAGTATATTATAACTATGATATGTTTATTACAAAACAATGAAATCTTCTTTAGAGAATATTCTTAAAAACCAACAAAAAAATTGTGAAATAACAGAGTACACATTTAAACAAATATCTATGTTAATGTTGTTTTAAATAGAAGATATTGAAGTAATAAAGATCAGATATAATAAACATCTAACTCTATTTATCTTGTAATACCTTCTAGACAATGTATTTCGCTCATCTATTACATTTAATCTTCATAATATGGTAGATTAAATCATTATTACATTAATAAACGTTTCTCTTTGATTGATAAATATTTTCATATGAGAAATCTTTGAATAGACGACGTAGCGATAGACTATACATTGTAATGCAAGAAGTTTCTCAATAATTATTGAAAAAAGTTTTTCATTATTGATTTCAGTTTAATTATTGATATTACTTATATTATGTATAGAAAAAGAAAGTATTTACATAAAAGATTTATTGAACATATTGACAAATTCAGTTAAAAATAATATATTTCATGAATAAAAAATTAATCAGTTGCAAAAATTCTAAAATTTTCATTTTCTTCAATACATTGAATTCGATTAAAACATGAAGATATTTTGTGAATATTATTTAAACTATCAATTCTATGATTTTTCATTATTAATTCTGTAATAAAACAACTAAAATGTGATAAATAATGTAAACGATTAATAAGATTTTGAGCTAAATCAATAAATGATATTTGACATTTTGTTTGTAAATATAAACGTTGAATATTTGGAATATAAGAAAGAAGATTATCAATAAGATCATATGATAATTCTATTTCATCACTCCATAAAGTAAATCGTTTAAGTGAATGAATAAATATTGAAGATAAATTAATATTATTTCTATCCGAATTACATAAAATATTTAATTGGAAATGATTAAGATTTGGACATGATAAAAGAATATCTGAAATAATCATTGAATTCTTACAACGTATTGATACATATTTTATTGAAGGAGATATTAACCATGAATTCGAATAAGGTTTATCTATCAAACCTAAATTAACATAACGAAGACATGGAAATTTATTTGAAAATATACCATTTATTAATTGAATTGGTAGCTGAAAATCTGATTCTAATAAAAATGATAAATTTACAAGATTAGGTAACATTTGTGGACATATCTGTTTAATATGATTCAGATCTCGATTATATAATATTAACGAATTTAAATTTGAAAATTCTTTCAAATTACATTCATTTGAAGTATCAATAATTAAATGAGCTATTTTAAACCCATAAGATTTAATTAAGAAGAAATTTGGATTGTCATCAAAAATAAATAACATATTATAAATTGATAATAACAAATTATTAAATCGAGAATTAAGATTATTAAATGCATGATCTAAATCTTCTATTGTTAAATAATTAAATATATCAAACAATAATTCATTTGGCAAATCTTCTAATTCACTTTTATTATCTAAAATACAAATAACAATACAATACATTTCACTAAAAATTCAAAATTCAGAAGACTTTTCATTGATTCGATTTGATGAAAGAACAGAATCTGTAATCAATGAATAATTTCTTTTAATATTTAAACTCTTCGCTCGATAAATCGGAGCTTCCTTGAAAAATAACTAATTCATATTAGAATCATGGATATAGATATATATGTACTCTCATCTTTGAAAATATACACAAGTTAAATTAGTTTTATTTCCAGTCGTTAGATACTCGTTTTTTTGTCTTAATGCAATTGATAAATATTTCTATTTAAGAAATAAAAAAATATCAAGAACTTTCTAATAATTAGATGAGTTCTATTCAGTAAACATACTTGGAATGATTTTATTTGATAATGTATTCGTTTGGGATAATAATATATTATCTTGCGATGTACAATCATGAGTATATTCATTGATTGTATTATTAGATAATTGTTTAAGAAAATTTTCACATTGATCTTGTAAACCTAAAAAATGAATAGAAATAGATTTAATGATTAAATAAAATCAAAGTACCTTTATATTTGATTTGTCCTCTTTGATAACAATTTTCTATTTCAATAAAACAAATATCATTTATATGAATAAATTCAGGTGATTTAAAAATCGATGATTGACATACGATAGAAATCATATTATTAGTTTCTAATTGAACAACATAAAATATTTCGTTAAGAAACGACTTAGTTGATATTGTTGGATTCTCTTTTGTTACTATTAATTAAATAGATAATTTAAATATTAAAATAAAAAATTCTTATTCTATACATGATATATCAAAAACAGGTTTTAAATGTTGAACTGTTGGAAGATGAGAATGTAAATGTATATTATTTGTTTTATAATAATGATATGTTGCTGGACTACAAACAAGTATTTGAAGAGGAAGATTTAATTGATTATTAAAACGTTGTGTTATTTCATCCAATGTTTCATGTTCAATATTAATTCCATTTAAATAAATAAATCTATCAAAATTTTTAATACCTGATCGATAAGCAAGACTTAATTCATCACTTTTATCTGATAAGATTAAATAATGAAAATCATCTTGTTTATGATAAAATCGTTTTATTCCAATTAATTGATTAAATACAATTCGTTGGATTGTACATAATCGAATATCATCACAATCATAATTACATTGCGTATTTTCATCAATACTATCATCATCTAAAAATTACATTTGAAACGTTTTTTAGTAATAAATATATATATATGTATATTCATACTAAAATGTTTATTAAACCATAATTTTAATGATCGAGGTGGATCTGTTCCCCATCCAGACATAGAAACAATTTCATTTCGATCATTTTTATATTGAATAACACAACCAAATGTTGTATAATCAATTGTTTCACCTATGGGTTTACTTCTAAGATCATTGATTTTCTCATGAGAAACAATAATATAATACCAATATGGTATACATTTCTCTTTTCCTTGTAAAAGACATACAATTTCATTCCATTTTTGTTTTCTTAATGGTAAAATTGGTTTACTTTCTGATAATGTTATTAATCCCTTAAGAATTTTTATGAATTTCTATAAAATATATAAAAAAGAAATTCTTACTTTTAGTTTCCCATAAAATTTAGCCATTGAAAATAATTCTTACGTAATAACAAAGATATACATAAGATTTATTGTTATGTTAAAATAAAGTTATATATTTCTCCTTCATATGATAAACATCTCTAAATATATCACAAGGTTATATTATCATATTTACCTGTTATGTCAATAAATGATAAAATAATCATTAGTTATCGTTTGGATTGATTCAAAATGGAGTTACAATATCATTCAAATATTTCTTTCAATTACAAATCATTTATATTATTCTTTCGAGAAATAAATTATTCATTTTAACATATGATAACGAGAAAATGACATTTTTTTTAAAGACCAACTTGATATATCATTTGTCAATGAAGTTCAAAAAGATCAAAGAGATGTTTTTTTTCTTTCAATTTGAAGTTTGATCATATCAAATAATACATTTTACAATTAATCAGTCATTTAGTTTTATATCATCAAATATATTTTATCTCAACGAAATTTTTTGTTGACAAAAGATAATTTGATCTAAAAATATAGTTTTTGTTAAAATAATCATTATGTCGATTTAATAATACTATATCAGCACACCTAAAGTTCACATTCATTTCATAGTATAACAAAAAAGAAAATTGTGATAGATGTAATCATCGATAGAATAACCGAAAAAATATTTATATTAATTATAATCTTAAATAATATATAAAATAATTAAATATAAGTTTTTCATTGATTAGTTAGAAGAAAATAATTCATGTGGAGATTCAGATTGAATTATTTTCTTTTTCAAAATAAAGAATATCAAGAATTATAGTTATATCAATGTTTTCATAGTCTTTTGTAAATTAATTATATACGAATCGTAATTCAATCAATATATATCGCTAAAATATCTCAAAAATTCTAACAAAAGATCAATAATCGTTTTAAAATGATCCAACCTATTCGTATGTGATTATTAGAATAATTTTCTATGTAACATAAAACAAAATTCTAAAACAGTTAGAATGTTATATTTGAATAAATATCATACAAATTATGTTGGGATTAGTTTTTATGACCTCAATAAGCTCGAAATGATTCGCCTTTGAAAAAGAAAATAAAGAAATGATTGAAAATATTTATTTAGAATATATTCTTATGATAAATGAATATATATTGCATCAATCTATTTCTATTTTAGATAATTATTTTATTTATATAAACTCTTTTACGATTAAATTAAGATTATTTTGTGAATCTTTTATCTATAAATAAAAATTGATAGGTGTGGGTAAAAATGGAGATGAATATGAGTCTATAGACAGTTGTGGGTGTGCTAGGTAAATATGATATTCCCACACTCACATTCAACTTAGTTTTTGTTCACTTCTGATGTAAAAATGAAGGTGAATGAAGTCGTTTTTCATGACGCGATGATTTTGTGGTTAGTTGACGTGCACCACAATCGCAGCCAATTAATCGTAGAAAGTCACGTCGAAATGGTGTCGATATGATCAGGCGAACATAGAATTTCAATGAATAATTCATGCTCATGAATGATAGAAAACAATTAAGCAATATTTTGTATCGTATACGTCGCATTGAACAACTCGACTTTTGATTGACAATATGATCATTAAAAATAATTACTTCGACAATGCCAACGGGTAATATGGACACTAAACTAATCAGTGAAAACAATACAATCAACAATGACAATGTTTGCATACGACGAGAACGAATACTCAATGTTCGTTTATGAACTCGACGATGACGAAATCGATCGTGAAGTAAAATTATAGATGAGATGCATGTCATTAATGAGGGAATAAAAGCAAATAAAATAGTGTGAATCAATGGCCAAAGATTTGTTTCCCATCGACGAAAGGATGGACGAAGTTTACAAAGGAAATAATTATGTAAATCAGGATCATACGAAAGAGAAAAGTAAGGAGGAATCATAATCAAAATAGTGATCAGTGTGACCAACGATATGCGCTTGAAAACATGATGACGAGTCATACGAAGACGATAGCGAGTAGGATAGAGAATCATCAACGATCGATCAGTGGTAAGCGAAGCAAGAAGAAGATTCGAGGCAATTGTTGGATCACTGATCATTGTGTAGAAAAAGCCACAAGAAAATACTAGACGAGGATCGAATCGAATAATAGATATCGAGACAAGACGCATCCAAAGGACACCTATTTAATAAAAGATCACATATTATTCATAGTTTTGTTTTATATCATGAATCAAATATACTGACCAATAAGATAGAAAAATTCGTAAGCTGCAATGGCAACAAAATAGAAGGATGTAGCTTGCTTAAGATTTATTCGATTGTGCATTATTATTCCTTGGAATACATGACCAGGAAGGCCAATCATAACACAAAAAAGATCGCAAAAATTCCAGATAATCTTGGTGATATACAGAGCTTTTGCAAAATTTGAATCTGGAAAACAAATCGTTGATGTGTTATTGATAGTGGTGTTTAACATCATACTATGCTTTAATTTTGATCGTACTAAATGACACTTAAGAAATGCACTTCTTGATAAAAATCGACCAATGTTTAAAAAACAATCACAGGATATGCATGCAGAAAAAGAAGAGAGCTTGGACGATATTTGTTGGTTTGTTTAAACAACCGATTGTTAAAAGAATATTTTTTCAGTAAATTAACAGAAAGAAAAACAATCAGAGATGCACGAGATTAATTGAAAAGTTTTCTTAGAATTTGCTAGAAGTTGACAAAGTAAACAAAAACTTACTTTGAAAAGGGAATATAATAATTAGTGTTTTGAAACTCTCTTAACTAGTTTGAATTTTGTTTAATTATATAATATTCGATGCCATGACGGATAAACCTTGGAGAGATCGAAATTAAAAAGATATTGCATAAGTAATGTTTCCAGTAAATAATGATTTTCATAGTTTATTATTATTTCTCTCATCATTTATCCAGGATGTTTCTTCTTTTAACCTCACGACCCACACCCAAGATGTATTTGTATTATTATACTTGTACTGTTGTAACTTTATTATATTTGCATGTTTTTGATTGTGTTTTCAGATTGATAATGATCGAAAAGTTCCGTTATTATTAAAAAATATAAGATTTTCACTATATATTCTATATTTATTTTCATTTATTTAAAATTACATTAAAATCTCATGTCTTCATTATTTTCATACATTTTCATTTTCAACTATAAGATAAAATATTATTCATCTTTAAATATGAACAATAAATCATTTAAAAATCAATCAAATAAGTAAAATAGCTCTGACTATTTTATCATTATCATTATTTTATCGTGACTATGAAAAACAAAATGAATGAATGAACGCGTTATAAAATATAAATATAAACATTATTTATCATCTTGTCTTGTTTTCTTTTAAATGAAGAACGTTTTATTTTTATTTTTTTCAGATTCAATCTTTTTTTTTGAATTATTTCGGTTGATTTTTCGTGAGTAAAATGAATTCAATATATTCTGATTCTTGAATATGATTTGATGAATCAAAAAAGATTATTTAGTCGATAAGAATAGGAGGAAAATTTCTACTGATCATCACAAAAAAAGTGCAATAGTTCACTGAAATATCATGTTTATAATAAAGAAAAAGTGATATAATATTAAAAGTAAATATTATGAAAAAGATATTTGATTTTGTTTTTTTACAATTACATCAATTAAATCGTATTCTTCAGTTTTGAATAATAATATTTGTCATTTAATGAGTTGCAGCACTTTCAATAATAAATAGTGTGAAATTATATTTTCATAGTTTGTTTAAGACAATAAATTTTTATTTATGATTAATAATAATATTTTATAGAATCAAATTACTAAAAATATACTTTTTATATTAATAGAAAAATAATTTACAAAAGAAGTACCGATGTATTATTTTTAGTTTCGCTAAAATTTAAAACAATATTTAAAATCATATAGATTCACTTCCTATATATTTTTTAGTAGAAAAAACTTAATCTTTCGAGGTGCCCAATTTATCGTACTTATCGAATGAATATGTATGATTGTTTTGTAGATATGACATGTCAAATAATACGTACATCAAAAACAAACGTTTGACGTCAATAAATTTACGAAAGAAAAAGAAAATATCATCGACATTTTACATGGCGATTGACGTCAAAAAATAATGCGTGAGAGATATATGATAATATTAAACAATAACAATATATAGATATATTATATTCAAACGAGAATAACAAATATTATGTTAGAAAGAAAGAACGCCTAATTAATGACTGCACATGTCTGCCAATCATACCTGTACAATTTTTCATATTATGCACTTAGTAAAAAAAAAAGAGTCCCTACCGACTTGCTATACATTAATAAAGCATGTATTCATGCATTGCTCGTTACCTGATTTTTATAATAAACAAATTTTTCGGGTCACTGATTACAGTTACATGTATGTTGTATTCATGAGACACTATAAAACCTTGTACAATTTTCTTTCCAAGCTCATTCTTGATACGTGTTTTATCATCAATCAAGGATAGTAAACATTCATCAAGAATCTTTTTTCTAGTTCATATTAGAAAAAAGAAAACAATATGGCAACTACTGTGATAACAACTACAGTTATTACTACCACAACTGCAAGTACTGCACTTGTTTTCGATTCTGGTGATAATG